CAAGACTCAACTTTTCATCAAACTCTACTTCTGGAGCCTTTCTCGCATCACGTCTCTAAATGGTATCCACGGGCCAGCCAGCCTCTCGAGAAAGAAAGAAATACCTACCCTTCCAATCCCTAATTTTTGTAGGAAAGCCTCCTAGGAGCCTATAACCATGACAGAAGACAAGTAAAAGTAGTAGGGCATGTTGGTGACCTACTTTATACTACATAGCCCCAAGAAGATATCTATGTCCAAAGGAAAACCTAAACGATTGCTAAGAGAAATCGTCCCTACAAGGGTCTGGATAGCATTGGGATGGAGTTGCCCCAAGGAAACACCAAAAAATGAAAGCACCTTGGCAATGAAAGGGTTCAAAGGAAAACATAGGGCGTCAGTCAATGCCTCCTCGAAGATGCAAACCTCGCCTCGACTGTGGCTCAATGGGAATTGATCTGGGCCGGGCAAAATGCAATTAAACTCAATGGGAATATGAAATATCGAAATTAAATTGACAATCTCTTCCCCACTTAGCTTGCTAGGACCAAATGGGGAACCCTCGGGCTCCTGTTGAGATGTCAAGGTCTCGAGCTCCCCTCCTCGGCCTGAGTAGAGTATGATGACCCTCCTTCAGAATCGGTTGAAGACATGACTATAGAATGGAAAAGGAACTCACTTGCTTTCAGGAAACAGAAATCGATGGTGGGCCAAACTTCACTTGGTGACCTAACAAAAATCCTCCAACATAATTCTCCTCCAACCAATCACCCCTCTCCCTTGGCGAAAATCTCAAAATAGTACGAGTTGAACCCTAGTGGTGACCACCCTATTTATAGCTTTTTGGTGAAGAAAATTGATTGCTAAAGCGCCCTATTGGCGAAACGACAGTTAAGAAAACTGCATTGCGTGCAAGCTAATTTGAATTTTAAATTTTGTGCGCCTAACTTGCATGCCCATCTAGATTTTGAAATTTGAACTTCATCGTAGTCTCACACGTCCTTGAGCTGAGTTGAGAGAGTGGGCAGAGCAATTTGTGGACCGGCTGAACAAATCCCCATCGACTGAGAAAAATTACTATGAGCTCCTTCACCGAGCTAGTATCGACTCAGGAGTGGGGGCAATTGATGAAGGGTAATTTGGTCCTCCAAATAACATCATGACCCATGGCATTTTTTACCAGTTGGATGACATCTCAACACCGAGTAAGCAGATCACCTCGATAGAGCAGCTAGTAGCACCTCATCCAGGGACCTGAATGTGGGAAGTGACATCCTTAAGGACCTGCCGAGCATACTAGGGTCTAGGGTTGCAACCTGCGAGATGTACTTGCTGACATATTCCTTAACCTAGTTATCGAGACCGACTTCTTTGGGGTAATGATGTTCAACCGTTAAGTTTGCCTACCCGCATTGTCCGCATCAAAGTTAATTGAACCAAACTTAGCCCTCCGCATGGATCACGTAACTGATAGAGAGATCCTCTCCAAACTTAGCGGGAGTGGTTCCCCAAGAATCTCGGACCCATTATAAGGAGCCTTTAGTTCCTGACACCTATATAAAGGCATCACTTCCTTGAGAAATGGTACGCACGATTCAGCTCTCGCATACTCTGGTTATTTAGCATTCTAGCTCTCTCTAAAAACCTCTAGTTTACTGACTTAAGCATCGGAGTGCCCACCCCGGGTAAAGCAAACCAGACACTCTAACACTATCTCTCTATAGGCGGCCCCACCGAACTATCTAGGTCAGCATCTAAGTCACCCTTACAACAAAGGATTATCCAGCTCGGTATCCGAATCACCTACCAGCAAGGAGCTGCCAGATTGCGCACCATCACCTTCCATTCCCAATACTTGTCACATGAAGGGTTTTTATTCATGGGGGTTATGTGAGCAGAAAGAAGGAATAAGAAGGGGGAGATAGAGACATAAAGGGATTGGACTTTAGAGAAAGAAAATGTTGAAAAATGAAAAATAAACAACTCTGTGGATCCCATCATTACAATTAAATGTAAGATTTTGTTAAGGATTCAACCATGATATAGAAAATATATGATATCTGAAAAATGTCAAACCAATTAATTGGAATCATAAATGTGGTAGCCAATCAGGTGTTATTTATCAAAATTCATGGATGGGTTTTGATTGGTCAAAACTCTTTCGATATCATGTCTTTCACGCATCATAGATTTTCCCTTTTGTTAAATATTCGATTGGATGAATTGCACTATGTGGTAAGAAACTATTAAAGGGTACATGTAAATGGTGGACCGAAGATAATGCGAATTCATGAATGAGTTGGGATCACCTTCCAACAAAAAACGTTCCAACACCCTCCCAATCTTCTCGACACTACACACACTTAAAAGTGGGACATGCCTTGTAGAGATGTGTGGCCACATCGAATCATGTTAGGAGGGTGTTAGAACAATTTTTTTGGTAGGTGATCCAGATTCCTCATATACTAGTTGTATAAACATAATTCTAAATCTCCTGTTGTCTATGAGAACTCTGCCTACGTCTACCCACAATACACTACCCCTGTGAATTGGGAACATCTTCCCTGCTGCATAATCCTATGTAGGAGTTTGTGTGGGTAGGAGGTAAGAGATCCAGACTCTATAAACATATGATGTGCTTATTTTTATTTTGTTTTTTTTGGTAGCAGATACCTCTGTGGGCAACTTGTCAGCGGTTGGATGCTTTGCCAGCACAGCGCGAGTTTGCATCTCCGCCCCACCGCCTGTCACCCCACAAATGTCACACACAACGAGCGACTGCCACGTGTCCAGTCGCACGTGGTGGGACGTCTCCACATGCGGGGCTAATGGTCGTCCCGTTAGCCCCAAAACGAACCCAAACCTCCTTTTTCCCATATTCCCGCCCCTCAACCTCAAACCAACATTTTAAAAAATGACGCCTTAGTCCCTTACTTGACAGACGAGTGAACAGAAGAGTTGTTTAATATAGGAATTGATGATTGTAGTGAGAGATGACAATTGGGTAACACTTCAGTTCATCACTTTCGGCTTCTCCATTGTAGTTCATTGATTGGTAGAAGGTGACTCCATCATTAATGTTCGGTGAGTAAAGTGGTGGGTCAACGGTGGTTCAGTGGTGTTCTAGTGTAATTGCAATGGTGAACAGCAACAGTGGTAGTTATGGTGAGAGATAACACCCTGCAGTGGGAGAGAAGTTGACAAGTACGGTAAAAAAGAAGAGTCGGAGAGAGAGATTAGTTTATGGATGGTGAGGTGAAGATGGCTTTACGAAGATAGTGGTTCGGTGTGTGAGAGGAGGTTGAAGCGGCTATGGACTAGACTTGCAGAGGGTGGAAATGAAGAAGTTGCAAGGGATGACGACTCTATGTTTGTGTGGTTGTAGATTGAGAAAATGGTGGGTTACAATAAGGATAGGTGGTGATGGAAAATGGAGACAGTTGTAGCAAGCATTATGCAACCTACAAGAATATATGGGAGAAAGAGGGGGAGAGCAATGGGACGAATGGTGGACGGTGGGGGAGAATAATGTGTAGCTGTGACGGTGTTGGTGATATGGAAAGTAGTTGATGCAGAGAATAGCAACCAGAGGGATGGAGAATAAGTAGTTCGTTAGAGAGAGAGAGTAAGAATGGTCGAGATGGTAACGTGACCAATTTGGTTGGTGGAGATGAACAGAGCTGAAAAAGAAGGCATGGAGTGACTATGAGCGAAAGACAACAGAGAGAGAATAGGGAAATAGAGAGAAAGATAATGGGAGAGGTAGTAGTAGGATGAAAGAATGGGTGGAGCTACATCCGATGACCGTGGTTGAAGAAGATGATAATGTCGGCAATGAAAGGAACGAAGTAGGGATAGAGAGGAGATAACACTGGAGGGTGCTTGTTGTTGGAGGTGAAGAAAGAAAGAAGTTGGAAAATGGGAAGGGGAAGGGACGACGAATGCGCTCTTTCATATGCCATGGTTTCTTTCCAATGAGAGAGAGACAACTTTTGTCGGCCACAATGTCCATCCATAAGAAGTGACTCTTGTTCAGAGAAGTTTTCTTGTTACCCAAAAGATTAGCGACAGAAGGAAATCGTGGAATTCGCATGCGGAAACGTTTTAGAGCTAATGGGACGAGCTAACAATTGTCCTATTAGCCCCGCACATGGGAATGCCCCACCGTATGCGACTTGACATGTGGTAGTCGCACATAGTGTGGGGCGTTTGTGGGGCAATGGAGGGTGGGGCAGAGATGCATGATGCAAGTTCATGCACTTTTACACGAGTTCACATCTCCACCCCATAAGGGTCACCCCACAGCACATCCTTGCTGTGTATTGGGAACATCTCCTGATGATAGTATCAGTCCTGATGATGTCATCATCGAGAAATGTTCTCAATATACAACGGGGATGTGCTGTGAAGCGTTGTGGGGCGGAGATGTGGACTCCTTTTACACGAGTTTGGATTTTTTGCCGACGAGAACTCACCCACATTTATCACAGTCATACATAGAGAACATCTCAACGTAGTATTATATAGGGGGAGATGTTCCCAATTCACAGGGGGTGGTGTATCGTGGATAGGCGTGGGCAGAGTCGTATTAATTGAGAACATCTCCCCCCTTATAATCTCGCAGGGTTCTAGCGGGTAGGAGATCCAGGCTCCTTTTATACAACTAAAAATCTCGCAGCAAGTGACGAGTCATCATCGTCACGTGCATCTGCCCCCTTCCAAGTTCCAACGGATCCCGCGGTTCAATTTAAAAGTAAAGGCTTCTGGCATGCGCTATCAGCGAGGAATCACATATGCGCCCCACGTAGCGCGCTTCAAAAACGTCCTATATCATCACATCGCAACCGTGTATCGAAAATATCATCACGAGAGATATTTCCAGTGTACGCTGAGATGTCATGTAGGGTGTGTGAGGCGCGCTGTGTTAGGCGCAGATGTGAATTCCATCAGCGAGCGCACTACCTTTTTTTATGAATATATATAAACACATCTTATGATTGTCCTGTGCTGTCACGTGTCTCTATCTTCCCGGGAGTGACATTAGCATAACCTAATTAACTAATAACCAACAGGCGACACTCGACGGAGCCGTTCTACGAACACCGAATCACCGATTTAAAATTTCCCAATCATTTTCCAAATGCATTAGTTGTAGATCGGAAGAGAAGATTCTCAGAAGCTCCAGAAATCCTCTTTTCGTCTCTCCTCCCTCACTGCGTTTGTCCGTCTTCGCCATTAGAGCAAAGGGAAGCTGTGTAGGGACCCCCAAAATGACCACAACGGAAACAGAGTTCGATCTTAGAGTACGATTCCGAAAACCATAACAATGCTGTTAGAATTCGAACGCATTTTCTTTCTTTAGTCTTTTTATTGATGGCCTAAACTACTTGCAGGCTTCTACTCAATCTGGATTCGGGATTGGGTGAGTTTTGTTGGGTCTTTTGGATGCATTTCTAGGGTTTGGAATGTGGTTTTGCTAGGATATTAATTTGTATTGCAGGGAGTATACATTTGCTGATGCTGGGAACTTGGAGCATTGTACGAAGTATTTGAACCATACGCTGGTTACGTATGGATTTCCAGCGTCTTTGGATCTTTTTGCTAATGATCCGGTTAGGTCTTTTTTATCTATTTGTTAATTTTGAATCTATGCCTGCTTCTTTGCTGTGTTTCACTGATTGGTTTCTAGGTTTGATGTATAACAGGTTTCCATTGCACGAACCTGCAATTGCATATATTCTCTACTTCAGCAGAGACAGAGAGATATTGAGTTTAGGGAGTCTTCAAATGATCAGAGACAGAGGTGAAGGCATTTCATTCTTTCATGGTGTCTTGAATGTACATTTTCTGTTGTTTTGGTTTCTTTGTACGTTATGTTTGGAGCAGGATCTGGCGTTATTGGGTCACTGTTAATCGAGCTTGATTTCAAGTTTCTTTGGATCTGAAGTTTTTGACATGAAATATCTAACAAGAAGATGATACTTTTTAGCTTCTTCTGATTACTTGGTCTGTGAAGTAGGGTAACCATGGGTTCAATTTTCATTGGTAACCTTTACTCTTTTTTCCCTATGTCATAGATTGCTATCTGATATATCAAGATTAGAGGCTAAAGTTGAGAGGCTTGAGGCACAGTTAGCAGCCAAAGACCGTGAACTGGCGACACTAACTCGCAATGTCTGAAATAGTTAACTCTTATTATAACTAATTTGTTACTTTAGTGTTATTATTAATCATCACCTATAAGCTTGACCTCTTTTTCTTATTATGTTTTATATTATCAGGAAGCTAAGGCTGCTGCAGCCTTTAAAGCCCAAATTGAAAAGCTACAACAGGAGCGGGATGAGTTTCAAAAGATGGTCATTGGGAATCAGGTTTGGATGCTTTTGATTTAACTTTGGTTGAATTCTTGGTCCTAAGATACAAGCTTATGGTTGCTGATGAAACATTCATTTTGCTCCCTTAAATGCTTCAAAGCAAGTGCGGACTCAACAGATACATGAGATGAAGAAAAAAGAGAAGGAGTATATAAAGCTGCAGGTAGGATCACTTCACTTTTCTTGCACCTTCTATGGAAATCTCTTAGCGTGTCATGCTTTACACAATAGGATTATTGAATGCAAAAAATTTAGAAATTAGAAGGATAAATCTATGCCATTTTCTACTTTGCAGGAGAGGTTAAACCAAGTATTGATGGAGAAAAAGAAAGAATCTAGATCAGGAATGGAGATAATGAATTTACTTCAGGTATCCATAATTTAATTATTGGTGATAGTGGACATAAGTATATAGTTAGAAGTTAGAAATATTTGACTATATCCACATAACAGTATTAATGATATGTGTAAGCAGAAAGAAGGGAGGCAACGTGGGACATGGAATGGAAAGAAGGCTGACAATGATTTCTATAAAATGATTGTATGAAGGATGACTTACTTTCTTCTTTCTTTATTTTTAAGTTGATTAATATGTTATTACTGCTAATTTGCATTAACAACTGGCAGGTGGATGCTTATGAGGTAAAGAAGCAAGAATTAATGGCAGAAAATGCTGACTTGAAAGCATTGCTGCGTTCAATGCAGGTCATTACTTAAACCCATATTGATATTGTTGATCTCGTTCTTAGTCATTGTGAAGATGCACAGTTCTGTATTTGATCATTTATTTTTACTGATGAAGAGCTTCATTTTCTTCATTTTTTTTTCTATTTTTTGACAAGTGATATTACAGTCTTTTATGGTTCTTGATGAAGAAGCAGATAAATTTCCAATTTGATTATTCCGTAATTGCTGTATTCTTTTGTGATGCAATTTTTCTTCAAAATTTCTTTTTCGATCTAGGTATATGCAGAAGTTTTTAATTTTATTGTCCTTGGTGATGCTTAAGGTAATTTTAATTGATTGGAGGTTCATATGACAATCATATTAGTAAATAAAAACTCCTAGGTGAGAATACTGATATTAAAACCGGGAGCAGGACAGGGAGCTGGAGTTGCTTCGAAGGAGCTCTGCCTCCTTGAGAGAGGGGGGTGGGGAGAAGAATTGGAGGGAAATTTCTCTTGTATTCCTTCTTTTGTTTGAATGGCTACTTATAGCCTCCTACATCAATTTTCCATCAAGAATGACAACGTAGTAACTAACTATGCTGAATTGTCCTAGAATATACATTATTTAAGAGGTGGTTTGTAGAGAATATCTTTGTGGGTCAACACTCGAGTTGGATCCTGGGCCTGGGCTGAATCTGAAGTGCTCGGGCCCTGTTCCTCCACTGATCTCTGGGTTCTATTAACTCTCTCCCCCTTAAGATTGACCTTGCCCTCAGGGTCGATGGAGGGAAACTGGTTCTGGATAGCCAAATCCTCCCAAGTAGCATCTTCAATTGGAAGGTTGGTCCACTGTACTAGCACTTGCTTGATGGTACGATTGTCAGACTTCACTCACCTTTCTGCAGTGGTTTTATGGGGTTGGACAAGCAGCTCTCCATCATTAGTGAACTGAGGTAAAGTTGGACTAACAACAGTAGGGGGGAGAAATGCATAGCTTCAAGAGAGACACATGAAAGACTGTGTGCATAATGGAAGATGCAGGTAAATCCAGCTTGTAGGCTACTTGGCCAATCCTCTCCGGGATCTTGAATGGACTGCAGTATCTGGGTGATAATTTTTGCCAAGCCCAACGAGCTAAAGAGGATTGCTGGTAAGGGTGTAACTTAAGAAACACATGACTTCTGGATTGTATTCCACACCTTGATGCTTATTATCATATGACGACTTCATTCTTTGTTGGGCCTGTTGCAGGTGCCTTTTTAAGGGTTGAATCAATTCATCATGAGCTGATAGTTGCTGGTCTACTTCAGCAATAGTAGAGGACCCCTTCTTGTTAGGTAAGAGTGAAGGAGGATCCCATCCATAAACAGCCTTGAAGGGAGTGGTTCCTTTAGAGGCATGGAAATTGGAAAGTGGTGTTGAACCAGTATTCAGCCCAAGGCAGCCAATGTGTCCACTGTTTCAGATTCTCATCAATAAAATACCTTTGGTAGGTTTCCAGGCAACAATTTATCACCTCGGTCTGTCCATCCATTTGAGGATGAAATCTAGTAGCACAGTACAATAGAATTCCTTGGTGCTTGAAATAAGCTTCCCAGAATCTGCTTATGAAGAGTGGATCTTGATCTATGACTATGGTGTTAGGGATGCCATGCGACATTGCTACATTATCAATGAATGCCTTTACTACTATACTGGCAATATATGGGTGAGGTAATGCAACAAAATAAGCATACTTACTCAGTTGGTTCACCACCACAACCACAAAAGGCTGATTTTCTTGCTGATTTGGGAGGGCCTGTGACGAAACCCATTGTGATATCTTCCCAGATCTCATTTGGAATTGGTAGGGGCTGAAGTAGTTCGACTGCTGACTGGGTAATGTGTTTTTACTGTGACCGACCACTGGTATGTTCTGAGTATGCCTGAATGCCCACCAAGGACTGAATCATGAAATGACTGTAACGGGTTTTGATGATGGGCCGAATTTTAGGCCACCACCAACCGGCCCTTATAAAATAGAGTTGACCTGTCCACTGAATAGCCAGGCACACTGCTGGGATTCTGAGTCCACTAGGCTCGAATCTGGGCCAATTCCGAATCCTCCTAGGCTTTTGGTTTGATCTGATCTTGGAGGGAAATCTGCAACCGTGAGACCTCCATACTGCTTAGTTCTTTTGGCCTAGATAAAGCATTGACCAGACCTGGTTTGTGCTCAATCACAAAATCATAACCCAATAATTTAGCAGTCCATTTTTGTAGCTTTGGACTTCCAACTGCTCTAATAAGTGTTTTAGACTGCAGTGATCATTCCTCACCACAAAGAGCCACCTCAGAAGATGGACCCTCCATTTTTTGGATGGCCAAAGTAAGTAACTGCTATCAATTCCTCTTCATATGTAGACTTGAGCTGTGTTTGGGGGAGAGAGCACTTTACTAAAATATGCTACTTGTTGGCATTGCTGCATTAACACAACACCCACTCTTCTCCCTGATGCATCACTTTCAATAGTAAATTCCTTAGAAAAATCAGGCAGCACTATGGTGGACATAAGTTACTGCAATGTTGAGTGCTTCAAATGCCTTTTCAGCTTCTTCAATCCAATGGAAAGCCCCCTTTTTAAGTAGTTTGATAAGGGTTTTAACTATGAGGCCATAACCATTGATTTGTTGATGGTAATAACCGGTTAAGCCAAAAATCCTCTTATTCCTTTCAAAGAAGTGGGCCAGGCCCAATTCACCACACACTTGAGGTTTTTTGGATTAGTTTGTACCCTTCTACCTGAGATAATGTGGCCCAAGTATTTGACCTTAGTTTTCCAAAAGAACATTTGGAAAGTTTTGCTAACAATTGATGGTGTCTTAATATGTCCAAGGTACATTGTAGGTGCTCCAAATAGGTGAGCCAATTGGGGCTGTACACCAAGATGTGTCAAAGAATACCAATATATGACGACACAAAAAAGGCATGAAAACACCATTCATGAGGCTTTGAAAAGTGCCAGGAGCTTTTTTAGCTACTAAGATAGAATATGATAGGGAAGAAGGCAAAAGAAAAGGTAGAAGAGGGGAAGGCTATTATGTATGCTCTAAAGTGTGGGTTCATTGTTGTTGCAGATATGAAGATTTTAAGCTTGAATGTGCGGGGCTTAGGGAGTGCGGAGAAGAGACGACTAATTATAGATGCTCTTAGGAAGGAGAAATTGGATGTGGTGCTATTACAAGAGACGAACCTTCAAGAGATAGACAGGAGATGGATCAGGAGTATCTGGCAAGTTAGGGGCTTAAGCTGGGTTTTTGCACCTTCATGAGGAGCTTTTAGAGGTATTCTCACCATTTGGAGGAATGAAGAGTTGGAGGGCCAGGAAGAGCTACTAGGGTAGTTATCAGTATCAATCAAATTTAGAAGGTTGACTGATGGCATAAAGATAGGGCCCATTTTTGGGAAGAGTTGAGTGCTATTAGAAGCTTGTGGGAGGAACCATGGTGTTTGGGTGGTGATTTCAACATAATCCGGTTTTCAACAGAGACAAACAATCCAAGCCGGGGAATCACCACAAGTATGACGAAGTTTAATGAGTTTGTAGACTTATTCGAAGTTTCGAACAGAAAGAGATACCTTTGTTACATGTTGACTATACTTGGTCAAATTTTCAAAACTTTCCGATTTGTTCTAAACTAGACAAATTCCTTTTTTCAATGGATTAGGAAGTTTTGTGGGAGGATTTAATCTCATGAGCATTGGTGAGAGTGACTTCGGATCATTGCCCTATTTGTCTAGCTCAAGCAAATTCGATAAGGGCCCCCTCATTGTTTAAGTTTGAAAACATGTGGTTGGAGGACCTTACCTTTCTAGAAAAAGTCAAATGTTGGTGGTAGGAGGTAGGGAGTAGAGGCTTGAAGAAAGGGGTTAACTTCTTGAGGAAGCTTAAGGGTTTAAAGATAAGAAAGAAGCTCTTCCAACTATGAGTAGTGAGGGTGGAAAGGTGGAAGTTAAAATGTGAGTCAGAAGAAGTCCTTAAGAAGGAAGATATTTCTTGGAGGCAAAAATGTAGATGCAAATGGTTGTTGGAGGGGGATTTCAATACAATATATATATATATATATATATATATATATATATATATATATTCACTTTCTAGCCAATGGGAGAAGGAAAAATCAAATTGTTAGGCTAGAAGTGGATGGACGTGATATAACCAGGGAGGAGGAGATTATTAAGGTTTTTGTGGACCATTTTAAAAGTATATTCCATAGTCAAGGGGAGAGGAGCCATCTCCCCCCGGATGTTTAATGGATCAGAGTGCCTAAAGCCATGGCTGTAGCTTTAGAGGTGGAGTTTTCTCTAGAAGAAATCAGAGAGGCGGTTTTCTCAATGGAAAGGTCTAAAGCTCTTGGACCGATGGTTTCTCTTTGGCTTTTTATCAGGAGTGTTGGGATCTCACCGAAAGAGATTTGCTGGATGGTTTCAATGAGTTCTACATTGAAGGGGAAATTTCTTAAGGTATAAACTCAACTTCCATTGCCTTAATTCCCAGAAAGAAGGAAGCAAAAAATTCCAGACCAATAAGCCTAGTGGGAATCCTCTACAAGGTTATATTGCAAAGGTCTTAGCCGGAAGACTAAAAAAGGTATTACCTTTGGTCATCTCATAGCATCAAGGTGCCTTTGTTGAAGACATATTACCGACGGGTGTTGGTAGCAGAGGGAGGGGCTTGGTGTGCAAGTTCGACTTAGAGAATGCTTATGACTTTGTGGATTGGTCTTTTCTCTTGGAAATTATAGGGAGAATCGGGTTAGGGGAGTGGTGGAGGATGTGGATGAAGGGATGCCTTAGTTCAGTACAATACTAGATCATGATTAATGGTGTGGCTAGAGGTTACTTTCCGAGGAGTAAGACAAGGGGATCCCCTTTCCCCCTTCCTATTCAATTTAATTTGTGATGTCCTAAGTAGGATGATCATGGAGGTTGATAAGAGAAACCTATTTGGAGGATGGAGGATAGGAAGACTTGAGGTGACAAACACTCATTTGTAG